AGAGTTACAGCGTGAAAAGAAATGAACAAAAATGGGGGGAAGTTAGTTCTGGTGCAATATGACGCCGCGCAGATCCGATCGCGCATGCACCGTGTATTATAATCTCCGAGTGAAGAGCTGTTAGCCGATAAATTCTTCATCTAGGTGGAACCACTTACAAAAGGGAACACCTTTTCGTGATTGCATGCTTATGGTACGCGAAATAGTGTCCAAATTATAGGCCACGGGCTGTGTAATTCGACGAACGCGTTGAGCAGGGCTCTTGCAAAAAGGAGCGAGTACAACAAAAGAAAGATAGAGAAACGGAGGACCCATTTATTTTTTGCTGATAAGCGCCGTGACGTGATCATAGTTTCCTAGAGGGGAAACTCAACGATTAAAACGTTCAAGAGGATTGGTAACACTGTTGAGTACTGTTGTGGTACTGATGAGGTAAAGACAATTGCATTTCAGTAACGCGATCAATCGTTGAAAATGATAGTAATCGCGTTGGTGGTCAGCCAGCACGAGCCTCGGTCGACGATCATAGGTTTCTCTCAATGAGGTTAATAGGAGTCGCAGTCAGTTTTTCTCCAAGTTTCACTGCTACTGCACACGACCATAGAACCACAGAACCGTCGTAGATTGAAAGCATATTGATTATATGAAGTATGAAGTATAAAGTACTAATTAATTAATTAAAAGATTGAAAACATATTGATTATATGAAGTATGAAGTATAAAGTACTAATTAATTAATTAAAAGATTGAAAACATATTGATTATATGAAGTATGAAGTATAAAGTACTAATTAATTAATTAAAAGATTGAAAACATATTGATTATATGAAGTATGAAGTATAAAGTACTAATTAATTAATTAAAAGATTGAAAACATATTGATTATATGAAGTATGAAGTATAAAGTACTAATTAATTAATTAAAAGATTGAAAACATATTGATTATATGAAGTATGAAGTATGAAGTATGAAGTATAAAGTACTAATTAATATACTGTTTCAGGAATAAAAAGAAGAGGACAAACTTGGAAGAGCAACCTCAGAAAGTGTTAAAAGGAGCACCTGATTGCTGTTCTTGAGAAGTCAGTTTCTCAAACTGTGGAAATGGCAAACTTTCATCGAAGGAGCAGGACAGGTGTTTATTTTTTAATCTTTATAAAAAGTACTCTATTTGTACCGTCGAATTATCTCTGTTTACCGTGACTTATCGATCGAAACGCGTGTTCTGCGCTCGCGTATGTAGAAACGTTGACAGAGATTGGAACAGGAAGAGAAACAGCCAGAAAGGCTATGATATAACCAGTTAAGGGGCCATTGAGCCAACATTCAGACTACAATGCGCGCTCCGCGGAGCAATAACTGCTTGTTGCACACGCGTCTTCCACTTTATCGCCGCGTACACCCTCAACCGACTTTACCCTTTTGGAATCAACGACGACAATTATACATATTTGTTAATTTAAACGCGCTTATTCTCGCGTCGCGGCTCGATATAGGAATGGTAAATTTTAGGAGCGAAATTCGAGCGTCAGGAATTGGAATAGAATGTAGCGTAGCGCAGGGAAATATGTTTTTCCGCGAGTCGTATAATGAGACCTCTCGCGAACGATCTTGCTGGCGCCAGTTTAATGTCTCGCACACCGCGGAAGCGAACGCTCGTTCGTAATAGCGGATGCCTCGGGAATCGTCGAGACTGGTCGCGTTTACGCATACCTTAACGCGATGATTTCTTGGAGTGCCGTTGGAAAACGAATCGCCAGGCTGTCAGGGTATCCTCGACTTCGTTCACCGGTTACGCGGTCTCTTCCTGGGCTTCTGTCGCGTGTCACCTGCCGCGATAAGACGCGATCGCGAGCGCAGAACCGTCGATTATCAATATTGTGTACCATACAACGCCACGAAAGAGACACTTGGACTCTCCGCGACGATGTTTCGCAAGCTATTGCTTAAAATTCTTTCCACGATGCGTTATGTGCTCCGAGTATCGGCAATATTAAGCTCTGATCGTTAGGCGGCATAGCGTGCATTCCTGATGCGTTTATTTTTCCGAGGGTCGTTATTATCGAGCATTGCACGACGAACGCGGTAAAAAGTGGTTTTATACAAATGTACCCAGAATGAGATAATGACTCACTAATAGTTAAAATACATGGATCATGATTTAGTGTGATTTTTTTTTATACATGGTTTTCAAATGTTCAATCTTAAAGTCATCCAAAATTGTAATTGTCGTTTATTGATGCTTTCGGTTCTTTAAAGTGAATGATGAGTAATTGAATTAAATTTATTTAGTATGTTTCGAGAAAAAAATTCTGGTATATGTTGAAATTTTTCGGTAAAAAAAAAATTTTTCAAATCGTTCTAAAAAAATTATTTTCGGTTGTAAGGGTCGATTACAATCATTTTTAGTCATTACATATATTCCCGAAATCCTACGCATTTTCGAGAAAAAAATTTCATATCGAAAATCTAATCTGAGGCCAGAAATGTGGTTCCCCGAAAATGTGAATCTTTAAAATGTCATAACTCCTGAACGGATCGGAGGATTTCAATTTAAAAAAATGCAAACAACGCGTATTTTAGTGGAGCATATGTAGAAATTCTAACAATATTGGAAAAGTTGTTCCTTGACACCGTAAAGTGAGGAAAACCCCCCTAAAACTGGTTCAATTTTCAAACAGCCATAACTCCTATAATAGTAAAGGTATCTCATTGAAATTTTTTTCTGAAGCAGAGCCCATAAGTACCTGCAAAAAAGTATTAGACAACTTTTCTGTAGAGCGTCAAACAAATTTATTAAAAATAAATAACAAATTTTTAAGAAAAATCGACAGGGGGTAAGTCTCTAAATTCAACGAAAAAAAAAAATTTCAAATCGTTCTAAAAAAATTATTTCCGGGTGCGGGGGTTAATTACAACAAATTTTGGTCATTAGACATACCCTCTAAATCCTATCCACTTTCGAGAAAAAAATTCGAGAAGGGGGCAAATTTTTTGAAAAAATTAAAAGTTTCAAATCGTTCTAAAAAAATTATTTTCGGGTACGGGGGCCAATTACAATCAGTTTTGGTCGTTAGACATACCCTCAAAATCGTACCCACTTTCGAGAAAAAAATTCGAGAAGGGAGCAAATTTTTTGAAAAAATTAAAAATTCCAAATCGTTCTAAAAAAATTATATTTAGTTAGAGGGGTCAGTTACAAGCATTTTTGGTCATTAGACATACCCTCGAAATCCTATATTAGAGATACAAAAATGTACTTTGGTGTAATTTAAATACCTACTAAGTAATTCAATTACTCATCATTTACTTTGAAGAATCAAAGCATCAATAAATGATGCCTTTGAAAATTACGTAGTCGTATCAAAAATCGACAAATAATAAAAAAAACGCACTAAATCACGACCCATGTGTCATCAACAATCAGTGAATCATTACTTCATTATGAGTACATTTATATAAAATCACTTTTTACCGCGTTTGGCCTCTAATTGCCCCACTGTAGACTCGATTTGTCGTGGCATTTAGCCGCGATCCGTTTCGCTGGTGAAATCTCGCAGTTGACTCGCGACGCGCGCGAGCCTCGTTGCAACAAATGTAAACCGGAAACCGACCACATCTGCGATTTGAAAAATGCAGGAATGTAATGGCAAAAGTGCACAGATCATGAAACTTACACAAATGTTACAAAACAAAAGGAAAGGGTGAGACGTTTATTGAGAAACGGGGCCATGATCGCGCGGGAGTCGTTTGTTCCAATCCTCAGGGATGCATCTCACCTTGCACCGGCTGTTGCATGCGCATATCGCGACGGTCCGTACGTGGATCGTGCGTAAACACGTGCGTGGCGACGCGTATGAGTGCACATAGCCATACGCCGGGGGATGCATCGTCTGTCGCGCCCCCCCGCCCCCTTCCTCCTCGCGTCCACCACCCTGCGGACCTATATATTTCCCGGAGGGTCTCCCACTTTCGCCACTATCATTCCTGTCGCGGCTGCGGCAGCCTGTGAGCGCGCAAACGTGACTCCCGTACACGGTTTTCGTCTTCGAGCTTGCACGCGACCTGGCAGCTCACGCGCGGGGACCACCTGCCTTCGAATTTTCCGTGATCGGTGTGACATCGTGCTCCACAGTGCACCTCCGTGGCGAGTCCAAGTTCTCTGTTAACAGTTCGTCCGTTTTTCGATCGAGTTTCATCGAGTTTCTCTCGCCGGTTGCCTCGTGTTTCTCGGGAAATGTGTACCACGTGCGGTGTGCCCGCGACTCCGCCAGCAACTCCTACTGAATGGGATTAGATGAGGCACGACGGTACGTCGAACTATTCACAACGATAATAATCACATTCAAGCGACTATTGAATCGGTTGTGCGATCAGAACGATCAGAAGCGAACTGTCGTAGATTGTAAGAGTGTGGTACGGTCAATTTAGCGCGAATCTCTGATGTTTCCAAGTAATCCACGTTCCGGAAAGCATCCGTTAGATCCTCTTTCAAGCACGAAATTTACAGCCGATTTTCCAGCAATTGATCGCTGGGCTGCGAGCCGTACCGCATTCTTCACAGCTGTTCATACAACGATACACGCACGCTGACAAGAAGCCCGTGAATATAGATGCCTCTTTATACGGGCGTTCGCCAAGTAGCGATTTAATATATCGTGCCCCGTAAATTGCTTCTTTACGACTTTTATACTCGAGCTCTGACCGGCGTCTCTCGGTGCTCCAAATCTTTCCGTCGCGATTCTCGCTCCCAACGGGAAACTTTTGCGACCAGAGCCCATCCAGCGAAGTCTCTCGACAGGCGTGACGGTTTATCAGACAACGAGAGAGGATAAAAGTTAGAGGCAGAGACTTAAGGCGATCGACCTTAACCGGTCTAAAGGCATCCAGCGCTAGTTTGCCTTCTGCTAACGTTCTGTATCACACAACCGATAATGAGGTTTCGCCTTATAACGCATCGCGTTTCTCGTGCAGGATGGCCTGAGCCTCGGAGAAAATCTTCATGGATCGTTCACGAAAATCGAGGAATGACCGGTGGTTGCGGGGTACCGGGGATTCACCGCGGCGCCTACGGTGCACACAACGTCGCATCACGGTCAAGAATGTCGGGTGAGTGAGGATTACGCGAGTCTCGTGGCTAATTTAGACTTTTAAAAACCGAAAAATCCCTCACTAAGCGATCTGAGGCGTTCAATAAGCTGTACACAATTGTAAACATAAGATTGGTTAAAGCGTTTAACGTCGAAACACGATACTGGACAAGCAAGATGGGGCGTGAAATTTGTACGCGATTTTTATCGGTGACCGCGAGCGTGTGGTTTGTTCGAAAACGCGAAAGGAAAAAATAACGCCCGAAACACGATACCCCGCTCGATAACTCGTCATTTTAACGAGCTCTCTTTCTCTCGTGCGTACACATCGTGGTCGCTGTTTATTTTAATACGGACACCTCGTAATAATTCTCGATCGTACCGAACGAACGGACATCAATCCTTGCCCTCGTTACTTTCGATGCTCCGGGGCAGGGAGTCCCTTGTTATCTGCGAAGCATTCTTTGTACGCCGTGCAGCATGTCCGCGCATAATTACTGGTTTCGATTACGGATTTTCCGCCAAGTACTGGGAAACGTTTACGTCGTCTTTCTTTTATCATACGATCCGTCTGGTCTCTCGTACGCAACGAATCTTCGTCGTTCTTTTTGTCTTGGAAACCTAACAAAGCCTGTAATTGCATAGCAAGTGGACGTGGAACAAACGACAAAGATGTGAATTCCAAATTCGGCTGATAACCGTGAAAGTAACATCGTGCACCCTGTGACATTAATCCGGCGTGTAGGGTCTGATAGGCGTCGAAGAAAAAGGGGGAAAAAATGGCTACGAAGGAGAGAGGAAGGAGCCACGCGAACAATAAGCAATCTGTACCGGGGCATGTAGAGTAATTATGTTGAGTCTACGCGCGTGTACGGATGCGTGTATGCGGGCACATAGGTGGATCACATGCGGTGTACATTACGTACGGTATGTGGACGAGTTCCCCACGGTTCGTTTGTGATCCACTCGTGTTCCTGATAACACGGGGCGACGAAAACATGCGGCAGTCGTGTATTACATGGGTGTAAAATGTTCCAAGCAAATGTGTAAAGAAGCTCCTGTTATTATCAAAATTGTAACGTTTACATTGTATTGATTCGCGAGTATTGCTGAGGGAATTGTAATTTTTGTATCAAGCAACATCGATTGTAAGATGATTATCGCGACCCATAAGGACCACCCTCCGCGACCATAGTGTGCCCTCGCGTGCATAGTCAAAGAGACGAGCGCAAAACCTGCGTCCGCGGCGCATTGTGTATCGCGTGTATCTCGTGTGTTTGTGCATCGAGCGCGGCGGATGAGCGTAGGAACGAGCCCCGGGGGGAGCGATAACCTGAAACGAGCCGGAAAGACTATGAGTCTCGGATCTCCGAGGTGCGAACCGCGAGGCGGACTCGAATATCGATCAATTACTCGCGGAGCTGGTAAAACACGATCGCGCGGACGCGTACGCCCCGGAAAGGGGTTGGAAGGACAAACAAACAAAGGTGCATTAGCCTCTGCTGATGCGTACGAGTCGGAAATATGAAGAGCAGTTGGCGTGCAATCTTAGTCTTCACTGACGGACGAAAATTCATCGCGTTTGCTTCCTCTCTGCGTTCTCCAGCACCTGCTCACCTAAGGGTTATCAAAGAGATTAGGAATAGTAAAAGAAAACTCCTATAACTTGAGGAAGAACTTGAAGAACGCCCAGGGGGTCAATGAAACGCACCTTTCAGAGAACGGAACTATCGTTTAATTACGGATCAGCTGTTTCAGCTGTGCACGGTCCGGGATCGATTCGTTTCGATGGATGTATCGAGGGCCTCGCGTAGTAGCGAACCGATCCCATCTCGTGGAACCGAAGATAGAGTTGCCGTGAACGCCGGCAATAAACCCGCGGTTCACTCACGTACGTACAACGAATACTATTCATAAGTCGCGGCGAGCACGCTCGGAGCGTGGCGCCTCCACGACCACCTCGTAATTCTCGCGGCGAGCCTTCTCTTTTTCGCATGGGACTCACAATTAGGCCCATTATGCGCGCGCACATGTTCGCCGTGTTTCCGCCGTTTCACGTCACCGTGACCTTCCAAGCTTCGCCACCCGTTACTTGAGAGAACATGCAACAAATAGAGGAAAAAGTTCGAGATCGCGTTGAGTTGTATATTGGAAACGTTGACTGGGGTTTATTGTAATCTAAAGGACGTGGAAAGACTAAATGTAACGCGTGAGAGGATAGGACTGAATGTCATAGAAGTTAGAGGAAGTTGCAATTGGTGATGTTGATTCGTGTCGAAGATGCAACAAATTCTTAGAGAAAGAAGATGAAGATCGCGTTAAATTGTATATAGGAAACGTTGACTGAGGAATTATTGTAATCTAACGAATGTAACGCGTGAGAAGATAGGGCGAAGTGTCATAGAAGCGAAAGGAGGTTGCAATTGGTGACGTTGATTCTTATTAAAGATGCAACAAATTCCTAGGAGAAAATAGTTGAAGATCGCGTTGAATTGTATATTGAAAACGTTGACTTGGAATTATTGTTATCTAAACGACGAATGTAACGCGTTAGAGGATAGGACTGAGTGTCATAAAAGCTGGAGGAGGTTGCAATTAGGGGCGGACGAGTGATGTTGATTCGTATGGAAGATGCAACCTAGAGGAAAAAGATGACGATTGCGTTGAATTGTATATTGGAAACGTTGAGTGTGAATTATTGTAACCTAACGAATGTAACCTGTGAGAGGATGGGACCGAGTGTCATAGAAGCGAGAGGCGTTTGCAATTGTATCGATAGGGTGAAATAGGAGGGTTCAGCGAGTGCGGGGGCGTACGGTTGACGTTGATTCGCATCGAGTCCCGCAGCGAGGAGCGTCGACAGTTTCGAGACGCGTTGACAGCTACGACGCCCCGGCACCGGGGACCCGCAACCCCGCGACGATGCGTATTCTATCAACGTCCGTGGAGCGCGATAACCTCGGCGCAACTGCATGCTGAATGAGCCGTACGAGAAACGTCGTACCCGTCCCCTGTCCCTTTTCTGCAACAATGGCCTTTATGCGCGCGGGTACGCTATATCCCGAGCGGCACGGCACGAGAAAGGGAAAAAGGACGGGGCTGATCCACGTCGGCGTACGGACAAAGCCTGTCCTCGCCATATAGGAACCGCGCGGACGGCCAAGATTTAAATTGATTTCGAGATAAGTGCGTGGAATTAAAGATGCATTCGTACGATCATCCGCGCTTCGGGAGACCGGCGTTCCCGAGCGTTGCTCCTACTCCCGGCCGCTGGCAATTAGGTTTTCTCTTGCGTTTGTAACCGCCGTCTCGCTCGGAGGTTCGCAATCCGTCGTGGACGATAAATCCGACGAACAGAAGCTTCCTGGTCGCGACCGGCGATTAAGAGCTCGCGGCGCTCGTCTACGAATCGAGTATAGCAAACGACGAGGGTCGAAAAGGGGAACGGGACGTGAAATCGACGCCTACTTATAGATCATTGTAACGCTTCGTGCCTTTTAAACACACGGAGGATCCTTTGATCCCGAAAATATTGTCGAACAGAGTCCATTTGCGTCTTTCTCTGTCGCGCAAGCGCCGTAAATCTCTCGTAACGTTTGTAAACTATCCGCCGACTATGTCGACTAGAACAACGTTCTTTATTGTGCGGTATCTTGGTCTCAGCGAGATAGTCACGGAAAAAATAGGTTGTACGATCTTTTATCTGCGCTCCACGACACCATCACAAATTTTCCCGACGAGAGGAACGATAACGTTATTATTTACTACACGCTTGCCGTACCACCGATCGTCGTCTCTCCAGCCTATTTACCTGTCCGTTGAGCCTTGTTATTCTCCAATAACGCGGTTCTAAAATCGCCTGACGGATGGCCGCGTTGACGCAGAGATGATCGAACGGTCGCGTAGCTCGAGGCGCGTTCGACGATCGATGGTGTTCCACATTACCGCGAAGAATTGTTGTAAACACGGCTGGCGGCTATCAGGGGGCTAGGTATTGTGCACCGTGCAAGCTTGGGACGCGTACCGGACGCATCAGATAAGAATGTTCATGTCTCGCAACTCCTTTGGCCGCGGAGGCGGGGCGCTCGAAAACGGCATTAAACGGTGCCTGCTCGTTTATTTTTCAGTGAGCGCGAGATAGCGTGGCCCGACGTGAACCACCGCGCCACACCGCCAGCGGTGCCATCTCATATCCTATCCCGTCGTGTACGCGAAACCTATAATTATTCTTTCGAACGAGATCGTGGGCGAGCTGATCAGCCGCGTGCACGCTCTCTGCAATTTTTATTCCGCGTTTTCGAACGTTTCTCTTCCCTCCATTTTTCTTTATTGCAACCTGGCCCTGTTACGACAGCCGTTCCAACTGTATCGAACTCATCGCGATTATTATTAAACTTTATATGTATACGCGTGTCCCAAGCTCGAACGGAGCCATTTTCCCACGGATTATCCGAGTCTGTGCGTCCTGCGCGACGTTGTTGCACAGAGATTGGCAACCAGAGCCGCTAATTAGGCACAGGTACGCTCGACCGTCGCGTTCCAGCGAGCTGGATTAATTGGAAACTGTTCGAAATCGGGACGCGGGAACCGTCAAGTGTTAAAAGTGTGATATTATTTTTATTCGTAGAACAGATATGTTTCTGTTGTTTGTTAACGCGATCTCTCTGTTTTCTGTAAACGTTATTCCGGGACTGCGTCGTTCCAGCGTCATCGATGGATTGTGCGTCTCGAAATAGACACTCGGATTTAGCAGTTTGCCGGAAGTTACCGTTCACCGACCGATTCCAACCATGTCGCGAACACTGTGCTACGCGGCCACACGCCTGTTGATATTTTAGCGGCGATTTCCTTCCGGAAACCGCGCGTTTCTTGGCCCACTACTGTTACAGCGGCTCGTTTGTATAACAAAAACACCGTAGCTCTATATTTACGTTATTAATGTATTCGAATAGTACGGATCGAGCCACCTAGGGTTCAGATTAAAACGCGCCGCAGAAACGTCGCAAATATGTTGCACGT